TGTGATACTCACAACAAAGGCCTTTGAATCGACTTGAAGAAGTCATCCCGTAATTGCTACAGGCAGGTTGGCCTTGCTCATACGGTAGATGACCGTCTACGTTGTCGCTACAATGTAAGAATATAATCTGAATACTATAAACAAAATGATTTTAAGACGCTTAAAATCCATTAAAATCATTAAAAAATATTTGAAGATATTTAATAGAGATATAGAGAATTATGAAGAAATAATTAAAATCAATAGAAAATGTTTAGAGATATTGTTAGAGTTTTTAGAACTTGTAACTTTTTACTAGAGATTTTAAAAGAATTGTGAAAAGTTACTAGAAACATTCGAGATTATTTAGATATAATTATTAGAATAACTAGATAGTGAGAAAATATTAAGTACTAACAGCTAAAGAGAATTTTAGGGATTTTTAGGTTATAAAGTTTTTAAAATTATAGAATTATTTTTAAAATTAATAGAAATTTATGTAAAACTATAGAAATTTTCAAGAGATAACATAAGCAATTGTGAAAAGTTGTAGAGAATTATGAAACTAAAACTATATGAAATTATAAAGTTTTAAAATTTTAGAGTTTTAGAGTTTTACAATTGAAACTTCATAAATTATCGAAATTGAGTCAATTTGAGACAGTTTTTAGAAAAAAAAATATATTTACATTTCTTTTTTTCTATTTCGATAAATTATTATATTTTTCAAATTCTTAATCTTATCATCTTTCTTTTCAATTCTTTTTAAACATTAGACAATTAGAAAAATAGAAATAAACTCAATTGCTTACAATTTGGTTTGATAAAATTTGAAAGAATCATTTGGGGATTTAAAGAATTTTAAAAAAGTTTTTCTAAAAATTCGATCGAGATACAAGTTTACGAAAATTGTGGATTCCAATTGGCCTATTTAGAGTAAAAAAAGATGGCATATAGGCGTATTCAATTTATCGGCGGTAATAAGTTGGCGATCGACAGGAAATATATGTGAAGCAACAAAATTTATGGTTGGATTCAATATGTCATTTCATATGAAAGCCTCCGATCTCTTTTATAAGAAATATTGAGGCCATCAGATTTTCCATTTCCTTCTATCTACTGAAGTCGATTAAAAATTGATTTTGACCAAAATATCAAAAATCTTAATTAATTAATAATTTCGAAAACAGTCACCTTGCGAAAATTCTTTTTGGAGAAAATTCGCGACATAGATTCGAATGTAAAGAAGAATATGGAAAAATTGACTGAAAATAAACATCAAATTCTCACCCAGGTGCATAATTGCATACGTAATTTTTGATGTATCCATGGCCCGCATCAAAATAGTAAGTGTAGCCACAGCCTATTAAATGACTATTAGCCCAGAATATCTGAAATAAAAATTTGGTTCATATCTCTTTGCATTTTTTAAGAAAGGATAACATTGCTATAGAAAAATACTTCATAACAGAGTTACTGCTTTTTTATATGCATTTTTTTATGTTTTATTAAAAGCTAGAGTTTTTTTATTAATTTTTTTAAATAATATTGCAGTCATCATTTTTTTTAGTTGAATATTCAGTTTATTAATTTTTTAATTTTTTCAATTATTATATTGAACAATTATTTTCTCTTTATTAAAGATAAAAGTGATTATTGATTAAAAATAAGAATCTTTCATTACATTATTCCTTATAGAATAAAATCAAATTGTTAATTTTTACCAACAATTATGCAATTGTGTAAATTAAATATAAAAGGAAGATGTTTTAAATTCTAAAGATAAAAAAGAAGTTCAATGAAAAACAAAAGTACGAAAAGAAGAAACTAATTTTTTGTATTATTTTAATCGAAATTTTCAATATGATGACCATAAAATACAGTAATTTCTTTTTTAAAGGATAGAAAATGTATTTAAAAAGATCTATCAACCTGATTGTAATGGCTAATACCGCCCTTATATTGCACTTCGTTGAACCAATTGTAGATCGCTTGACGCCAGTCTGGTAAATCGTTGAATTGCGTCGATGAAATTGTCTTAAGCATATTTTGTTCCACATAGAATCCCCCTGTATACATCGATCATCATTAATCGTGATCTATAATCTTTTTCTTTGTCAAAAGAGCAGTCAATCGTTCTTTCTTTTATCTCGATGATTTTTTATTTTTAATTTATTTATTTATTTATTTTAATTTATAAATTATATATATATATATATACTATTCTTGGATAAATCAATGGTACTCAGGCATTACGAGTGAAACAGAGCCATCTATATTCTTGAACATCATTTTCTATGGTAAAAGACTCCTATTTAAAATTTTCAATAGAATTATTTAAATTATTTATTTATTCAAATTTTCATAGAAATATAGAGAAATATCATTTTAGAAATATATATTTTTTATAAGGATAGGATGTAAATCAATAGTGAATACATTAAATAACGATTGAACAGAGAAAATTTATATTTTTACACGTCTGAATATGAAATGTTCCATAAGAAGACAGAAGAGAGAAGAAAAATTGGAGGATCTGTCATGGGACATATACTAAGTAGATAACTTATGTGTCAGTTTTCCTATACCCACCACCAGAGGGATGCACACGGAAAATACTTCTTGAAAGTAACTCGTGTAACTATGAGCATATAGGGAATATCATTTTTCTATAAAAACATTCTTTGACTGAACTTTCAATATTTTCTCACATTCCTAATTTTTTGAAAATATTTTTTTATTAACATTAGAATTACCATATCAATCAAAATTATTAGTTTTACAATTTTATTTTGAAATTCTTACTTCGTATTATATTTTTTCCCAGCAATGATATATTTATTCAAAATTAAAATAATTTTGTATCGCTACTAGTCAAAATGACTGATATTTGTCAAATTCAAGAGAGATTTCTCAATGATTATAATTCTTAAAATAATTATCGCAAATATACTCACGAATATGTCTGACAGGATCGCGGATCTCAGCACATTTAGTTGCCCAATTTTGCGCCATATCAGCAAGTTCATCGTCCCAGGTCTGAAAAAAGAATCACTGACTTTATTTTCGAAGGTAAATTTGCATAAAAATAATGGCCACGAGTTAAAAGTTATGTTAAATTTTTTTTTTTTAAGTAAATATTGAGAAGATTAAGCGAAAATTATCTCTTACCAGCTCTCTCATATTGGCAGCAGTAGGCATTCCTTGGATCTCTCCAAAACTTATTTTTTGTCTAATATCATTATGCTCATCTAAAATTAGTTGTTTATCTTGACAGGATACTTGGTCGGATTCTATAAATAAATCCATTATATCAACAAGATTTAATTCTTTATATTCGGAATTTTTTTATTTCTTATGAGAAATAAATTTTCCAACTGAAATTATTTTCGTTTCTGAAAAAAGTCAAGATATAAAAATATAATAAGATATAAAAATACGACGAAGATAGACTAAAAATCGAAGAGTTCAGAATGTTTTACTTTTTGAATGTGAATCTTTGTAAGAAATTTAATACTAACTAAATTTCAAACTCGATTGTTCTGAAGAAGTTAAGTTTAAGATTAACAAGACTTTAGGGAAAATTAAGGATGATCTAATGCGAGCAAAATCTTCAGAGAATAGTAAGAAATATTATACAGGGTGATTCGCAAGTAACAAAATATATATATTTTTTTTAATACTTTTTTTTATATAAACGTCAACGTCAATTCACGAAACTTTAACTCGTTAAAATTTGTCGCCATCTTTCTTCCTTTCTTTCTTTCTTTCCCTCTCTTTTCTTTCGTTCGTTTCCTTAGTCACCACGATTGGCCAACTTGACAGAAACTTTCTCTAAAGGAATCTGCTTTAACGACGTTTCCCTCTGTCTTTTCCACGGACAACTTTTGTCCCTCCATATTCCTCTCCTTAATAACTTTTAGCTCCTCGACGAGGAGCAAAGAATGCAAATTTCTGTCTCGGACGAGACGTGGAATTGGCAATCGAATTTTCCCTCAAAATCTTAAGGAATATTTTTACTTCCAACTTCCACTACTATCGATTAACTTGAAAGAAATTCAATCCTTGATATTGGATATTGAACATCGTCGAATTTAATTAAAGGCCAATGAAATTTTCAATACTTGGAAAATTTAAATTTGAAATTTACACGTGAAATTTGTGAAGAATTATTATTACCATTATTCATTTTCGCCCGTACGTGAAACGAGAGTTTCGAGCAAAGAGTACCGTTTTCAATAACAATTCGACACCAACCATCTTGGTGTCAGTGTAGAATGTCAGTGTAGAGCGCACGGATTTCCCGTAATTAAGTAGCAACTGCTTTAATTCGTGAATGCAATCGAATTTCGTGGTTGCTCGCACGGGGTGAATACGCTATTTTTATCGTCGAATCGATGCACAGTCGTATTGAAATGTAATAGATTTCAATTTTCTCCCCGTAAATAATATACGAGGTGAATTATTCATGAAGCTAGGCACACAGCTGGACGAAAGCGGAGCAATAAAGTTGCTTCGCTTCTTCTTCTTCTTCTTCCACTCTTTTTTCTCCGTTCTACGTTTTTATCTCTTGTCTTTTTAATTGCATCGAATTTATTCGGCGATATTAATAATTCCTGTACAAATGTATGTATCATCGGAAGTCGAGGAGGGAAAACAAATTTTTTTCCCCATTGCAAATCTGTAATCTGTTTTGTTTCCCTCTTTTCTTCTTTTCTTTTTTTCCTCTCTCGAAACAATACAATCTCTTTTAAATCACGAATTTATTCGACGAAATTTAAACACATAAACGTTTTCTCCACGGTTTACAATCAATTTCTTTCTTTTCCAATTAATTGTAATATCTTTTATAATTATTTGCTTAATCACGTCGAATTTATTTTATTTTATTTTATCACATCTGAAATAAGAAATGGATTATTGCAAATCAATCCGAGTTTTCTTCACGATCTGCAATCCATTATTTCTTTTCTTCCCCTTCTTTAAATAATTCTTTTCGAAATAAACGATACATAAATGATGTATAAAATAAGATCTTTTTTAAGTCGAATAATCGGGGGTAATTAAGTTTTGTATCATCACTCAAAAGCGACTCGCGTCGATCTTTGCTCGAATTTCTGAAATTTTAAATTTATATCGCGAAAATATTCGACCAATTTCGCTCGACTCTTAACAGGTCGCGAGAGTTATCATTCTCCCCTCCTCCCCTCTCGTGGTTTTGTCGTAACGACGGTGGAATTATTCAAATTCTGAATAATTCGCGCCACGTTTCCATGTACAACCCGACATCAGGTTACCGCGGAAATTAAAATAATTTTCTTTGTTTCCAATTTTCCACGTTCCCCTCGTTGCTGGGAAAACTGAAATTACCGCAAACGCGACGCGAAACGTTTAATTTTATTCCCAGATTATTTTTACGAAATCTAGGGGAAAACTGTAAATTGATTAATCAAATTGAAATTTTACACGAAAATTTAGAAAAAGATCGCGATCAATTTCAATTTTTACAATTTTCTTACCACGATTGATTGATTGATTTAAAATTTTTTTCTTTTCTTTGTTGATTCAATTATATTTGTTTCTATCCCATTTCGTTCACGTGTCACGATTTTTTCATTAAAGAAAAGATTCGGCCATTATTACTAGATTGATTGAATGAAAAAATAGCGAATCAGCAATACTGAATACTGGTTTCTTTTTGCAGTGGAAATGAGGAAGGCTTGGCCTGTTACGTAGTAACGATTCAGCCGACACCTGCTGCTAACTCTATTCTCTTCTCGTAGTACTTGGTTAAATGGATTTCGCTGGGAATGGACTTGCCAGCTTGTTAAATAAATAGTCCTTGGCTGCTGACCTCCATTCAAAGTTTCCCCCCCAGTTATTTCTATTCCTCCGAGAACATCTTTCTCGATCATTCGACCATCTCGATCGATAATTCTATCCTTCTCTATTTTATTTCCCTTCTCTAGGGATTTTTCCCTCCATTTTACGATACATACATATATATATATATATATATATATAAATTAATGGAAAATAAATTACTCTCTTTTTCTTTCTTCTGTTTGCTCTCTCAAATCCTTTTTATTTTCGCCAAATCTTTTCCCTAGACGATCCCCCCGGAACAATGACAAATTCCCTAGATACATTTCCACTGTTAATTAAGTATTTCCTTAGAGGAATCCATTCGAATTTACTTACTCTCCTTACTTTTTCTTACTTTCTAAAAATTTCTCTAATTATTCTCTCTCTCTCTCTCTCTTCTCAAGATAAATTTCCCAAGAATGGAAAAAAAAAGTTTTTTTTGCGAATCGCCGCGGTCCAGAGACGTTTCCCTCCCCTTTCTTCCGGCGAAATCGAATAGTTTTTTAATCGGGACGATTCAAGACTCCAAGATATAGGAAGTAGTTGTATATATATATATAAATTAATGGAAAATAAATTACTCTCTTTTTTCTTTCTTCTGTTTGCTCTCTCAAATCCTTTTTATTTTCGCCAAATCTTTTCCCTAGAC